GCTGCCCCTGCAACCCCTCCTGCCCCCTCCTCTCCTCCCCTGTGGCTGCTGCCGGCTGCAAGGCACTGCCACCGTGCCAAGGACCCCCGCTAACCCAACCCCCTCCCTCCGGATGGCCCCTAGCAGTGCCTCCTCCCACCCGGCCCTCTGCCCCCTGCCCCGCTGGCCCAAAGGCCCTCTCCCCGGAGCCCCGCGCGACGCCTGCAGCCCCTGCTCCCCGGGGAAGTTTGGAGGGAGGTCCCCCAAGTGCGGCCAAGCGAAACCAACCTTTCAGGGAGGACTTCTCTCCTTGCTCCCTCATTGCCCTCGCCCTCTTGCCAACACCCCCCAGCGCAGAGGCTGGGACCGAGGTCCTCCAGCCCCGCTTTCGCCTCCCCTTCGTGGCCGCCCCGGGGGGACCGGAGGGAGGCGGGCTGAAAGCAATGCTCACCGGCTGCGGCTGCCTTGGCGGGCCAGTTTTATGAACCTCAAAGGGAGCGTGATTTACATACAGGAGGGGAGCGGGGCAGTTGGAGGCGCACACTGCCCCTTGCAACACAGCCCTGGCAGGCAGCGCCTGCTCTCGGCCCCGCTCCCTGACGCCACAGCCACCAAAGGCATCTCTGGCTGGCACAGGGAGGGGCAAGCGTGCGTGTGAGAGAGACAGAGAGATCCCTGAGTGCTGGAGTTTGCAAGCACTTTTCCCTCAGCAAAGATCTGGAGAGAGAGAGAGAGCCCAGTGAGTGTCCGAGGGGCTGCCTCCTACCCTTCACTTCCATCTCTCTGTGGAGTGCCTTACATCTACCCTTTTTTTTAATGCAGTGGAGGCAGAGGGGCTCCTAGGCTCGCCCCTGCGGAAGCGAAGAGGCGACGTGTTGAGACCGCTCCCAGCCGGCTAGTGAATGGGGGGACCCGACCGGGCGCCCCCTGTCCCAGCCCGGCATCCCACCGCTTCCCCTCTCCGCCCGCCGCCTGCAGGCAGGGGGAGCTCGCCCGGCACCACAGCCCGGGCTCTGCAGCAAGGCGTGGGATGATCTGCATCCTGTTCGTGCGATCATTTCCCCCCTTGCACCATCAATAATCGTACAAACGTTCAAAACGGCAGACAAGGTTTGGGGAAATCTGCTGTCTTTTAATCAGACCGACTCCAATAGCTGAGAAAACTCTTCTAAGCAAGCTGTAGGGTTTAAATGCACCTGGATCAGGCTGAGGAAGCACCTGCAGTTGGTGTGCGCTCTTCTTGGGTGGAATGAATAATATGTACCATAATTTTGGAGGGTCAAAGTTTTGTAGCCTCTCCCCTTAAAGTTTTGTAGCCTCTCGCCGTAAAGTTTCATAGCCTCTTGCCTTAAAAAATGCTCCCCTCAACATGTATGCTCCAAATGGGTACCGCATTTTTGAGGGATGCTACCAGATGCGCCCCTGAAACATGGAAGATGCCAAATTTGAAGCCAGTTTTGGATATAAATTTCATTGCTGAAGGTCAAGGAAGATTTCTACACCTCCCTGCTTTTCTGCTATTTGACACCACCAGGGAAGGAGTTCTGCCTGATCTGCACATTAAAGGGCTACTCACAAAGACACTCTCATGGACCCAGAGGAACAGGCTTCCACCTTCAGCTTCCTCTGTGCTAAAACAAAGTCTTTTCTACCTATGGGGACTTTTTACCATCTTTAATTTTCCCTGAGTTTGAGGAAGGGTGTGTGCGCCTGAAAGCTTGCAGAAAAAGATAGGTTTTTTGCAATTTCTTAGCTGGTCTAATAAAGGCATCATCTCTGAACCAAGAATTCTGGAGTTTTGCATTTTAAAATTTTCGAGGCATGTAATTGGTGCAACATGTGTCTAACCTAAGTCACTCTCAGGGAGTCTTAACTGACTTTTGGGCTTGCTGTCAGCACTTTTTTATGACTGCCTGCCTCAAAATAAAGAAGTGCTTCAACATTGATGACTCAGTTCTCACTCACTCACTTGCATCTTACAGTAAGCAATATAAAGTAAATAAGAAAAAGACTTATTCACATGTGTATTTGCATACTTATTTTCATATTTTTTCAGTGTACCATAGTTTTTCAGCAAATATGATACTTTTGAGCTTCCAATACAATAATTTCATATTTAAGACCTGGCAATGCTGGGTATGAGTGAAGGTCAGTAGCCTCTACTCCCCCTCAGTGCAGAACAAGCTCTGGGGTAAAGGGAGAGTGGGAAGACACATTTACCTGCTTCTCTTCTGATCATTTCCATTAGGAACCCAGTCAAAGCTGCAAACACGCATCTATCCTACTTCATGTTCCCTCCTTGGTAGAATTAGAACCAGCAGAAACCCTGGATGCTGACACCAGGATAGAAAACCCTATGTATTTACATTTCAACAAGATTCATTCTTTGCTCTTTAAAAGCTTTTTCCCCCTTGTGCCTATTTTAAAAAGCTTTTTGCATCACACAAATCTTAAAATGTTATATAGAGATATGCACACACTCCTCACACATTAGGAATTACAGTTATGTACACCAGGAATTTACACAGCACGGCCAGGCATTCAAAATAATGTTAGGTCCCCACAAATCCTGAAACCAGCTTATAAATCATGAGATTTAAAAAAAAAAATTACTTAAGTGATCATCTTTTTATTTGCCTTCTGATGTTTGAGACTTTAGGATGCCCTCGGGTCACATTTTTAAGCTTTTTCCACAGCTGTGATGGATAGACATTTTTATGTAAAAACAAACTTTAGTCTTGTGTATTTGTATTATTCAGGAGCTGGAACTTGGAGGACTGTTATGAGATTTGAAGAATGGACATCAGTATATAGTGAACACCTTGGGTAGAGGATAGGAATGCACCTGCTACAAACTAAATAAAGCAAGAAAGCTAAATATATATAATTAATAATACAGCCCACTTCTGTATATCCTCCATTCAAGAATCTTAAGGTTCATGAGTAGATATGTTTACATATTTATTAACAAAAGGTAGCAGATTTTGAAAGAGACCAGAAATTATGGATTGCTCAGTAACAAGAAGAAATTGAATTGATTTGATTTGCACTACAACATGTTATCGAACAGGGCATTGCCAAATACCTGCATTTCATATCAAAGTGACACTTGCTAAAGAGACATTATCATCATCCTGCCCAGAGGCTGGGATGAGGACCAGAATCCCACTGTGTTAGGCTTTGTAGAACATGTAGGATGACATAGTCCCTGTCCTAAAGAGCTGTGATCTTCAGAAACAAAACATAATGAGCAGGCTTAAAAATCATAGGAGGACAAGAGTGATAGACTAGATGAATATGCACCCAGTCAAAAGACTACAGGGCTGTGGTACAAGTTTTTTTCACACAAAAATTACATTTACTCAGGAACTGTTGACAACATGGGATCAGGCCCCTATGCAACTGAGAGAAGCTTTGCAAGTTTTGTAGCCTCTCACCTTAAAAATGCTCCTTATTTGGAGGTCTGTATCCCCTATGGTAGCTGCTACATAATGCTGATTAGTGCTAAGTCTCAACTGCCCGTTCCCCACAGCTGTCATAGATTTCTCCTAGCCAATATGACAGCTTGGTTTACAGGTATGATAAATTGAACTCTTCTCTCCTTGAGCACAGCTCTGCAACTCAATGGTGATTTACAGCCAAGATATTAAAAGTATTTTGGTGCTTAGCTTCCATGAGGTGCCTAAATACCTGTAAAAATGATCCCAGACCAGCAAGAATTCAGGTTAAGTGCACACTTACCTTACTGAACTGAGACCTTAGTTTTAAGTTGTATGCATCAGGTTGAACTGTACCTAGAGCAGCTTGGCCTGCAGTGGATCAGGGAACTCAGCCTTCTACACATATTTTCTATAATATTAAGCCCTATGTTTTAACTATACAAGGACAGAGGTTGGGCTTTGGTCTTTATTGAACTTCAGTGGCATTAAGAATGATGTTCCTTCAAATCTGGCAAGAAGAGATAGTACTTCTCTCAATGTCTATCTTCTAAAGTAAAATCTGAAAACTTTTTCTTTCTGTAAATCTGAACTGAATACTCTCTCTTCTCTGACCCTATAATTTAGTTCTTGTCCAGAAAACCAAAACTTCCAGTCAAGCCCTGCAAATGATGACTACAAGTTGCAACACATAGATAGGAACTATATAATGGCTTTGATAATAACCACAGCAGCAGTTTAAAACCATGAGATTTAGGATGTTGTCAAAAGGCTGCTTGGACATCTTTTTTGACAGGAAGGTCACGGGCTGAAACTCCTATTGATCAGAAGGACTGACAAACCTTGAAATGATTTCAATGTTGTATTCTGCCAAACATAAATTTTGCACATCTTTTATTTCTGTTTTCTGCTATTTACAGAGCAGGTTTACTGTATTGTCAATAAGAAGCTTTAATACCAAGGGATTACTCTCACAGGACCATAGAGTGATGGAGAGCCATGCTGAAGGAAATGCAATTTTTATCTTTGTAGAAAGCAGGGGGAAATTACAAAATCTCTTAGATATACTGACCTGTAGTTAAAATATCTAATAAATAATGTGTCTATCTCTATTTTAAGTCTGATTCTACTCTGGTCTGATGTAACCTACACTGATGAGTTGTTTCTCTTCTGATGGCATATTGTAGTTTTTGATGCCTTTTTAATGGAGATCGAAATTTGCTCTTTGATGCTAGGGGTTGTCTTGTTGCTTCAGATGCGTGTGCTTGAAGGTCTGATGTGAGTGTTCTTGCAGATCCCTCTGTGGTTATTGTCTATTTCATGGTAGCTTGCAGTTGCCAGCAGCCCCTTCCAGCCCTGTATTCCCTCAGTACCATTGTATTTGAACACTTTCCAGCAGCGTGTTAAGCAGTGTGATGAACGTTATTATGTTAGGTTCATTTTTTTCTCTAGTGATCTCCTCGGTGGGAAAACTGCATGCTATGTACCGTTGTTTTCTTAGGTTTTTATTTTTTTTAAAGTACATTCTGTTATATATTTGTACTGTAGAAAGCAAAGCTGAAGAAGTAGGGTTCAAATGTTGTTGTAGCCATGATAGGCCAGGAAATATTGAGAAGCAAAGCTTTTTTGGGGATAACTCTTGTTTGGACCAACTGTAGAGTTGGGACAGTGGTTGGAAAAGATTTTGGTCCTTGGGTGCCCCTCTTCAGTTGAGGAAGTTTTCCCAACAGCTCTCCCAATTATACAGTTGGTTCAATAAAAGTATCACAAAAAAGTTGCCAAGCTGAAGAAGCACATTTTGTATCAGAGAGGTGACATTTCTGATACTCCATAGTACCTATTTGGAGTGTGTCCACAGTGTCAGAGTACTAGAATAAAGCTCTGTTTCCAGATGAGAGTTATTCTTAGAAGAGAATGCTGCTTGTAATCTAAACAATAGTCACTAGACAGATTTGATTATAGAAAGACCTTTCTCTTTATTCCTTACTATGACAGCTATGATTGGAGTACTGAAAGTCCATGCACTATAGGATAACCGTACCAGCCTAATATCCTCATAAAATTGGGTCTGGTAAGTGATACTTGAACAAATTATTGCCATTATGAACTTAAAATAACATGCTATCGTTGCATAGAATTTGGTCTTATCAGAATTCAATAATATTATTACAGTAAAAGATGTAGAGGTGAGGAAAAGGGCACTGTAAGAAAAACAAGATGCGTAACTACACTGCTTTGGACACCCCTTGCCTTTGTTCCAAGATGGCCTAAACTGAGCAACTGGTATGTATCATGTTCTGAAGAACGGGCAGCACAGTGTGCACAGGTGAGCGAATCAAGCACTTAACATTTTACAATGAAAGATACTAGCAGAGATGCAAAATGTGCAAAAATGAAGTTTATTTCCTACCTATGGGGACTTTTTACCATCTTGTACCATCTACACTTTTCCCAGAGCCTGACGAAGGGACTTTGATCCCGAAAGCTTGCAGAAAAGGACAATTTTCTTGCCATTTTCCAGTTGGTCTAATAAAAGGTATCATTTTGGAACCAAGAGTTCTAGTTTTTTGTATGTCTAGCAGAGATGGGCCTTTGCTGTAAGATTATGATACAAAAATGTTTCCCCTGCACCTTTTGCTTGATACCTATGTGCAAAAATACAAGCTACAGCTACTCTAATCTAGCTATGTATTTGCCCATCTATCCACTTATCTGTCTGTCTGGAGTTTAATGGGACAGCTGTTACCATGATATCTCAGTGTCTTTTATGTATCTGCAAAACCCTATCACCACTATTATGTAGTATTATCTTAAAATATCCCTTTAGGCCTATAAGCCCTCCAGCAACACTGAAGTTGGATTTTGACTAAATGCCATAAATAGTGAGCAAGACGGGGAAGCAGAGGAATTTTTGCTAGAGGTGAAGACAGCTGACTCCTCATTTGACATTACACCTTGCATTTTCTGTGCCTATAACAGAGCATGGAAAAAAGGCAGGCTCAGTTTTTGATGCTTCTCTTGGTGGTGTTGTCTCTCACTATCACACTTGTTACTTTTTGAAATCCTAGATATTTATAGAGTATTCTTTTTCAGGAACTGTAACAGGCCAGCTAGGTAAAATGAAGCAGGGTACATAACAGTCCTTTGTTTATGAGGATATCCTTCCAGTGATCAGTAATACAAGCAGAGCTGACCCGAGCAGGGTGCAGGGCCTGGGGCAAATCAGCCCATGTGGGGCCCTGCCCTCCCTCCGATCCC